ACGAGTCGGAGAAGTGCAGCCAATGAGAGGGGGATCGGGTGGGTTTAGTCATGCACTCTGTCTCGGATCGACTCGGCACGAGTCGTGGTACCAGAGCCGGGCCGAGGGTACGGGCTAATGGGAAGACGTCCGGGTGCCCTTAGTCAAACACTCTGTCGTGTCAATGACTCGACACGACTCGTTGGACATGGGGCGGCCCGGCGCTTCCGCCCAATGGGAGCCTGGTCTTGGTCGAGCTGCGCCCTTCGCGGCTGGCGTTCGTATCGTCAATCACCTGCACCGTTTTACCCGTTGCCGGCCCGTCCCCGCCATGCCGCAGCACTACGGTGTAGCGAGCCCGACGAACACACTTTTCTACAACTCCACAGAAATCAGTCGCACACAATGCAGCCCTTGCAAAACCGGTATTATTACTGTTATAGGACACTGTCTCCTCCCCCCCACTCTCTCTCGCTCACGCATACTGCGCGAGGAACTCCTTCGCCGTCTTCGCCTCCCGCATGATCGTCTCGACATGCGCCTCGCTCCTCGGCCGGAACTCGACCTTGTACGGCCGCGGGTAACTGATGATGCCGTCCTCGTAGTCGTCGAGGTCGAGGGGCACCTGCTTGCCCGTCGCCGGGTCCGTCGCGGGCACGATATCGAACGCCCACAGCATCTTGGCCGTCATGCGCCACATGGTGCGCTCTGCCAGGTGCATGCCCGGGCAGATGCGCCGCCCGGACCCGTAGCTGTAGTGATCGCGACGCTCGAAGTCGGCGAGCCCCGCCAGCTCCGACGCCGCCCGCGCCGTGTGAGCCGCCCCCCACCGGTCCGGGTTGTACTTCTCGGGCTCCGCGCCGAAGCCCGCCGCCTCGTTCATGTGCAGCCCCCAGATGGGCATCACGATCGTGGCGTCCTTGGGGATCAGCATGCCCTCGTAGTAGTCGTCCTGCGTGACGCAGTGCGGCACGCCGAGCGGGAGCCTGGTCCTCACGCGTCAGTGAAAGTCATGAATCGAGCGAGTCTCTCTCTCTCTCTCTGCCACTTACACAGTCCGCCAGCGCGTGCCCTCCTTCACGATGGCGTTGACGTACGGCACCTTGCTGAAGTCCTGATCCCACGACGGAATCCGGCCCGCGCCGCACGCCTCGTCCAGCTGCGCCTGCGCCTTGCGCTGCGCCTCCGGGTGCAGCGCCAGCAGCATGATGGACGTCAGCATCGACCCGGCCGTCGTGTCCGCCGCGCCCTCGACCAGCACGCCCAGGAAGTGGTTGACCTGGTTGGCCGTGAGCGGCACGTCCGACTTGATGTCCTCGTCGACCATGCGGTCGAAGATGGCCGGCCGCTTGACGCCCTTGGCCCGCCGCTCCTCCGCCAGCCGCCGGGCTTCGTGCCACACCGAGTCCATGGCCGTGTACGACGTCTTGGCCCGACGCTTCCACGACGCCAACGCGTCCGGGATGTACTTGAGGAGCGGCACCTGGTCGACCGGCGGGTTGGCTCCCGGCTCGAGAGCCTCCGAGTACTTTTCCATCGCTTTGTAGACGCACTGCCGCATGGTCAGTGGCGCATTCCTCATCTACCTTGGTTCTCGGATACTCACGTTGCCCCAGAAGTCGTCGTAGGTGGCACCATGGTGGCCCCACACGATGATGTTGGCCGTGGATGCCGTCGTGCGCTTCACGTGGTTGTAGAAGCCGGTGGGCGTGCGCAACAGGTCGGCCAGGAAGACGGCGGCTTCGGACTCCTGGATCGGAGACACCTTGTCGTCGAGGTTGCGGGGCTGGTGCGAAGCAAACTCAGTCAGCATGTGCGGTGCCCTGGGCGATCAATATACGCACCGAGAGGTTGTGCGAGGCAATCTTCCGCTGGGCGCGCCAGGCCGGGTTGCTGTGGTTCATGAAGGCGATGCTGTCGCCGTTGGTGACGAGGTCGGCGACATAGTTGGCGGGCCGGTCCGAGTAGATGGCGCTCTTCTTGTCCAGCAGGTCGTGGATGGCCTTGCGGTCGTTCAACACAATCATCGTGTCGTTGGCGACCTTGATCGAGTACACCGGGCCGTACTGGTCACCCCATTCTTTGAGCCTGGTTGCCGTTAGCTGTGCACGTCGACTGGCTGAGCGGTCCTGGGGCGCACTTCTTGTAGAGACCCGTGGATGGAATCTGGTGGATGTTGCCCAGCACAGGCAGCGTTGGCGGGCCCGGGGGCAACCTGGAGTCGCGCTTGCCAATCTGGAGCACCTTGTACACGCCCCATGAGAGGGCGACGACGACGAGGGCCGTCAGAACTGGACTGAAAGCCATGGCGATGGTTGTTTCTGAACTCTGAGCCCCCGTTGTTTCCACTTATAAGTCGTCCTGGAAATCCATCTCTGGCGCGGGAGAGTGCGACGCAAATACGGTGTACTAGTTACTGTGCCGCACCGGAGCGCGCGGTCCGCAATGGTATCAGGCGTGCCTGACTCGGGAAAGTAAAGGCACGTTTGTGGCCCCGCCCCGCCCGGGGACCCCACTTCTGCGGGCGGCCTCTTCCTCGTCCATCTTTTGGGCTTGGGCTGAGGCCGCGATATGCGCTACTGCAATTTGAAGAAACGGGCGCCTCACTGAACGGACCGTTTAGGGAGTAGACTTCTTGTAAACATGCACGTCCGGATTGGCACCCGTCCCGCAGCTATTTGCAGCCGAGCCGCGATCAGCGAGCCGCGCGTTTCTCTTACCCCGGTCGTCGGCTTCTCCGGGACTGTCACAGCATCCGTACGCACTTTGTTGCGTATGCAGGTCTGGTCCCATCGTTACTGCGTAGAGTGTACTTGTCCAGCGTAGTGGTGGATCAACTGGAGCCAGTGCAGCCGTCGGCAAAAGCATAAGGAGACGGTGGTGGTCTTTACCATAGCCATCGGCAAGGACGTCACGCTGATAGCCATTCCAGCCTCATAAGCTGCCAAGCTCATATAACAGTTTGCGTGATCAAGTTGCCTTGGCATGAGGTTTCTATATCGATCGCTCTGGCCGCGTGCTTCGCAAGCGAGGACATCCTGACCCTAGACAGCCGTCCAACCGAGATAAGCCTTCGTTGCTCTACAGCCATGATGTGTGCGTCTGATGCACCAAAAGCAATTTTAAAGTGCTGTTTTGAGCGACCATGATCCTATTCTACCACGAAGATGTATTGGAAAAACTCAAAGATGATCAGCAAGCTAGTCATGGTCAGCAAAGGGACCCCCCTTTGGCGGCATTGAAGATGTATGCGAGAGACCACTACCATGGTGCAGAGCAGTCAAGTCTGCCAGTCTGATGTTATTTTCTACTATACACTTTGTTCACGAGGCTGTTTGATCTTATGAAATAGGTACATGGACTTGATGCAATTCTCATGATCCAGGTAAGACATAAAGACATAAGACGCGGTACCAGGATGAGGCTATGGCCCCTGCTACCGGCCCCTGCTGCTACCAGCACATGGGAGCTGAACTGGTGGGGCTGTCGTCGGCTGGTCATGCAACCCCCCTTGTCAAAATTGCACGAATGGGATCATACCCCGAAGCCTTATCTTATAGCAGCATACGTTGCTTTCATTGGATAAGCCTACACCCTAGCCTTTCGGCCCCCACCACGCCGTCCATCACCACACCGTCGTTCCTGTCCGACGCCGCAACTCTCTTCGCTGTGCCTCACCTGGTGCGTTCCTCTCCTTGGACACCCCCTCACCTCGTTATCGCCGACGTCCTCATGTGGTACCGTGTGTGTAGCTATCGATGTGGCAATCTAGAAACGAACCGACTACATTCAAGATCCTAGTGCTCGCAGAAGCTGACTTGACCGAACACGGCGCTCTCAACTTGGACCATGTTCGCCGTTCGCTCCGACATAAGTTTGCCCCTTAGCTCCTTGGCCTCCTCCATACCCATCGGCCATTCTTCTGCACTCGAGACGATCAATTCCGTCAGCTCCGTTGGAAGCTTTCCAACCCCTTCCTTCAAAATCTCCTCAGACCACCAATCCTTACGCTGCGGTGGGACGTTTGCTGTCGAGATGATGCGCTGGTGCGGGTCAACGAGGAAAAGGGCAAGGATCTTACGATGACCTGGCCTAGAACGGTCCTGTAGGCTAAAGGGCTCGACGCGGTGCTGCAGGACGTTTGGAAAGGCAAGCAGGCGGCCTTCCCGCGTCAAGACACGGCCTACGTTCTGAACAGAGGCCTCGCACTGCTTGATGCTGTAGAGAAACTCAAGCCCACCGTAATCGTTCTACACAACGTCAATCAGTAAGCGAGGATGATGGACTGAGAACCTTTCGCTCATACCTGCCCCTCTGCCTTCTCGGTTAGAACCTCGGGGTTGACATTCTGCCGAAACCCCAGGTAGCTGTCGGTGACGTTGTCGCAGTCGTAGTAGAAGATGGAAGTGGCGCAGATCCATTCGTTTAGCATACCCTCAACGTGCCATGATCCGCCGGGGTAGTCGGGCTTGTCGGGCGTGAGGCAGATGTTTGCGAGCTTGACAATGACCTGGAGACCTTGCGACGCGAACTGCTCGCGGAGGTTGGCTTTGACGTCCATGAAAACGTTCTTGCTGTCGTCATGAGAGTAGGGCTGGACACTCGGAAATATGAGCTCGCGGTCCGAGTCTAATTCTTTTCCTTCTTCCTCGTCGCTGTACTCATCGTCTTCGTCTTCTTCGTTCTCATCGCCTTCGTCTTCTTCGTTTTCATCGCCTTCGTCCTCTTCGCCCTCATCACCCTCGTCCTCTTCGTTCTCATCACTTTCGTCCTTTTCGTTCTCATCGCCTTCGTCCTTTCCGTCCTCTTCATATTCGCATTTGCGTTCGTCACCGCCATCGCCATCGTCACCTTGATGGTCATCCTGCTTGTCGTGGTAGATGTAATACGAATCATCAAGAAGCACGCGCAGGTACGTGGAGGGCTCTTGATCTGTCCCCGTATATCCCAAGATGTCCTCCCACAGCGGGAGGGCAGCATCCATGACGCGCTCGATGAGCGAGTACAAAGCTCTCTGTTTGACGGGATGCAAGTTGTTGACATAGCTGCTGATGCGCGTCTTACCCTCGTCCGTGAAGGCGACGTCGCATGGCAGCCACTGGAAGTGATTGGACCACAACGGCTTGTCCCAGTACCGACACACGTTATTCATGGAGCCCCAAACCTTCTCGACCCACGGGCGCGGCACCGTCTCGCCGCCGCCAGCCGCAGCCAAGCAGTCATCCAACCCGAGCGTGCGGCCGTCCCCCAGGATCCTCGAGCGGCCGTAGACGAAGGGGAACAGCGACGGGTGCACCAGGTCCAGCACCTGCCCATCCGAGCCGGGGTGCCAGTCCTTCTTGGACTCCGGCACGTCCTCGAGCAGCTCTGCCACCGCCTGGACAAGCTCGTGCCGGAGGCCCGCTGGGATGATGACGTCGGACTTGGCCACGGCGGCGGCGGTGTCGAGAATGCGGACAAAGCGTTTCTCAGCGTAGACGGCGGCCTTGTCGCGGAGCTCGGCAATGCACTGCAGAAGACGTCAGTCATTTGTTCCCTGCAAAACCCGTGAGACGTACGAAGTCGAACATGGCGTCGTCGAACCCCTGCCGCGTGGTGAACGTCTTGCGTGTCCACGTTCGGAGCGGCGGTGCCTCGTAAACGGCCTCTGCACGCCACCGCGCGACGATGGAGTCGTCGAAAACCTTGTGCTCCCAGTCAGGCTTATCGGTCAGAGCGTTGATGACGGCGAGCATGCTGCGCTCGCGTTCTGTCACCGGCTCCGGCCTCCAGCCGAGCACGGCGCTGCGGAAGCTTTGCGGATATGACTTGTCGATATAGATGGGCTGGCCGAAGCCGGGCCGTTGCAGCCGCTTACCGTCCATTTTCTCGTGAAACCGACAGTAGGTATGGCGAAAGGCAGTTTATAGACCACAGGAGATAGTAATCGCTGGCTCTTATAACAACCGGGCTCAAGCCTCCGAGTGATGTTGCCTACGGCTTGGAGCGGCCGTGCGCTAGGCAGCGATCGCTAGTGTACTGCTAAGTATCCCGTATCTAATGGCACTAGCTACAAACGAAGACTTTACTAGCGAAACTCTAGCTCACACAACCATAGTCTGGTCGTGTTCGGCGTTGCTATCGCGCTTGCACTCGTACGCACCGTCTCATTCGTTGGACCACCGCCGTCCTGCGTTTGATTCACGCCGCTTTGGCCGACCTACGCGCTTTCTCGCTTCGTTGCGCCATCTATGGATATGGTGGAAGCTGGAGTAATTTTCTGGAACCGGCGGCCCTGAATTTTGCCTTGTTGCAGTTGCAATTGAGCTGTGGTACGAGGTGGTGGTAGAGTGTTGGGCACAAGAGGGAGGCAATGGAAACTACTGGAAAGCGATAATCCCTAAGATGATTTCTCCCAGCGCGCTAAATCACTTGAAGCCTGTTTGGAGCGGAAATGATTGGGACATTTTTGGAGGAACGCCGTATAGATAGTGCAAATCGATACCTCCTAGCTGATGATGCGGCTCTACTCAAAATGTTGGACGGGTGATCACAGCTGGGCATAGGAAGAAGCTTGTCGACTGGATGTCTCAGTATGCGCTGCTACTACGTGGTTTTTATATGGTTGTACGAATAAAGGGGCACTCAACAAGGGTGTTTTACAAGACAAAACGGTGCTGAAGACTTCCTTGTTGGGTTGATGATGACGATGAGCTTCAACGCTATTGGATATACGTGATTTCCAACACAAAAGCATGGCAAAATACCTCCATAGCCTGGTCGGAAACGCACAAAAGGGCTTTCGTAAGATCGCGAAAACGAACCTCCTGCACATAGCCATCAAGTGAGCCATATAGGTTATGGAGAGTTCTGAGCTTGATGAGATAGTGAAGGAGATACGCAACTGGACAGGCCGCTTCGATGTATTACCTCGCCCTTATTGGCCCCAGCTTGGGTGAGCATCTTCTGCCGTTTATCTTCTCTTGCTCCTGGAAACTGGCCGACGGCGTTCCAGTTGGGCTTCAAATAGCCAGCGCCATCAGCTGCAACCCGTTCGTTGGCCCGTTAATCCATATCTCTTTTGCCATGTGCTGACCTCTCGGAACCCAAGCTTTTCCCCGCATCACCGGCCGCTTTGCTTGCTCTAAATACCCTCCTCCTCTCTGGGACGATAACCAGCTACTCCTAAACAAGAAGCTTTTGGTCAGAATGATGTTGGAGAACGACCCGTCGGAAAGGAAAAATCTGTACAAGAAAACATTCTACGAGAAGATACCAACGGCAATAAACTTACTGGTAGCAATTAAATATAACAGAAGACATCAAAAGAACTCTAATGCACTCTAGTCCAGTAGAAGCCAGCGTGCGCATGATCGGTCAGCGGATGAGGAGCATGCCACGGGGGTGTTCGGGCCACAAGCCGAACCCAAGGACGCTCAGGGACACCTGCATCAACAGCAGCTATCTCTTCAAGCCGGGCATAGGCTGTAACCGGCTTAAGACCTATGCCTCTTCCGGCTTTTCGGGTCGCACGCTAATCGAGCCAGCGTAGGGCAAAGCCTCCTCGATTGTTACACGCGCTATAATTAGAACCTCACACCAACAAGCAACATGTCCTACAAAAAAGATAATTGCGCCAGCAAGGCTTAGCTGTGTAACTTGGTCAGCTGCAATGGCTAGGGTGCTCCGGAGATCTCTGCCCCATCCAATGGCTGACGTGGGTTTCTTGTCTTTCCTGGCTCAACATACCAGCTGCATTACACCACTCTCACGGTATAGCATAGCCCAAAATGCGGTGAACCAATAGTGCATTCGCGCATATCTAATCTTAGCTTCATCGTGCTACATTCCGATATCTTGATTAAGTCCTCCTTATTTAAGAAGCTGTTTTCGTCGGAACATATAATGTATCATCATCGCAAGCCACTCCTCGTACCATCACTAGCTATTCAATGGGATCCCTAAACAGCACGAATCAGGTCCCCGTGTCTGGTTGGGAGCTGAGTGATATCTCGGACTACCAATGCCACTCTCGAGTCCGCGATCCAACAGATGGCGTCGAAAGTGCTCACGGCGGAGAGCCTGAGACCACTCCATTTCCAAGTACAAACCCTTCACCCTCGACGTCATCTGGCACAAATGACGAAGAATCTATCAGCAACTATACTGAATCACAGAATACGGCATCGGCACCTCCAGCTCCGCCAACAGAACTCTCGGCTTCGCCGTCACGACGGAGCAGTACATTCACGTGCGCTGGGCCTGGATCACACTCCCCGTAGCAGTAGTAGTCATGGGGATCATGCTTCTGGTCCTCGCCATCGTCCATACGAAGCGCAGTGGAGTTACGTCGTGGAAGTCGTCGAGCATACTTGCGCTTTTTGCGCAGCTCGATGGCTGGGACGAGGATGACTTACGCCCGGCTGCTGGGCCGGTGAAGGGGCTGGAGCGGCAAGCGAAAGGCATGTCTGCGGTGATTAAGGTAGATGGGGGTGCGGGAAAGGTGCTGTTCGTTAACACTCCTCGTGGTGTGGCTGGGATGCACGATATTTGAGGGTCGTAAGGGAAGTTTTCTCTGCTTGGATCTGTACCGAGTTGAAACATGTCGTCGAACATGAATGTGTATTGTAGCATAGCTTTGGCCGGTTAGGAGCCGTGATATTTGTAAGTGCCCTTTTATTGATTTGGGGACATCTCAAGCCCGGTGCTGCTTGGGTTTGACCTTCCCTTAACTCCCTGGAGTCACTGGAGTCCGTTCCCCCAGTCGAGAACTCGAGTGCGAGTAGAAGAGGATGGGGAGGCGACGGAAAGGCACTGAAGTGACGGAATCCTTCTGTCGATAGTAGTAAGGCTCTAGGCAAGAGGGAAGATGCTGGAAGAATACCGATGAGGTATCTGAGGCTCAAAAGTCACACCATCGAACGAACAAAATTTGGACACAGATTTGATTTAGAGAGTATGTCCCGCTCGGGTATGTTATGAAAGCTTGTTTTCGAGCTTGTTAAGGAACATCACAATATGGCATTTATTTCCGTAGACCGGCGCCGAAAGCAAATCCGTGCAGTCGGATCAGGAAAGATATCCTGTGCCACCTCCACATTCCTTACTCCGGCACAGCCTTCAGCGAAGCGCCAGTCATACATCAGCAATAGCTGGGCGAGTGCAACTTTCAACTCGGCGGCGGCGAAGAAGCGGCCTGGGCATGACTGCGAACCGTGACCAAAGCCAAGGTGCTGCGAGCTGGTGGTCACATACTGCCACTTGTTTCTGTTCCCCTCTTCCATCCGCAGCCGGAGGAAGCGGTCCCCTATAAAGCGATTCGGATCTGGGAAGATGGTCGGGTCGCGTAGTGCTTCGGATGAGAAGACGGCCAGCATGGAGCCCTTGGGAACCTCAAGCCCGGAAGCAGATTGAAGAGTGACATTAGCCGTGGCTACACGTGTCATCAGGGCTACATTTTCGTGGAGGTTAGCGCTTGCATGGGTATGTTGAATGGGAGGGCCTGCAAGCCATGTGAGAGAACATGTACTTACTTAGATGCACGGGGCTGAGCCGCTGCGACTCTTTCAGCACGCTGTCCATCAGCCGCATCTTAAATAGAGTAGACTTCCGCCACTCCCCACCTTCCTCTGAAAGAACACTGTGCACCTCGTCCCGCAGTGGCTCAATCCACTCTGGATGCTCGCACAGATCGAACAACACGCGCGTCAGGGCCATGGATGTTGTGTGAATGGCAGTCAGCGAGAGTGCTAGCTGGCCCGCCGTCACATCAGTCGTCTTCCCGTGCCTGTTTGATACGTCCTCCTGCCACTGCAGAGCATCTGTGAAGTGGAGCGGTGTGTCGGAGCCTTCGCGCTGCCGTTGCCTTTTCTCGACGAATGTTGCAATGATGCTTCGCGCCTGATTCTCGCATCGCCGAAGACGTCGTCGCTCTGGAAGAAGATACTGCACTAGAGGCTGCAACGGTACAGGCCAGTGTCGTAGCGCACGTATGAAGTGGACGGAATCAATCGCGTAACTGCCGGTGATGCGTAGCCACTCCTCATCGCGGCATGCCTCCTCGCCGAGGAAGATTCGGGCAGACAGCCGCGCGACGACATGTACGGCTGTTGGATAGAAGACTACTGGCGTCCAGTCTGTAGAGAAGACGTTAGAATAGCCCAAGCCAAGGCTGAGAGTGGGTCGCGTTTTCTTGCTTACCTTTGGACGGCGGAAAGTTCTGCTGAAGTGATTGTGTCGCCTCGCTGGAAAGTGCAGCTATGATTTTGCCTAGATTCTTTCCAGATCAATAACCCCTACACTCAATCAGCAGAGGAGGAGAAGCCCTGCAGGAGACGGAGGGAAATTGGAACACGCACTCAGGCTTCTGGTCAAGTGAACCCGAACAACCTCGGTAAAGACTTTGTCATGCTCCGTGATGAAGCGGAATCCGGCCATCCCTCCGAGCAACGACACCCCGGGAAGTCTGGTAAAGCTCGACTGCGCATCCCAAAACGGGTCTCAGCTGCCTATTGTCATCTCGCGGATCCCTACTGGAGTGGCGCTTACCTTGGCAATGGTCTCATGGAATGAGAGGTCCTTGTGGTTTCTGATTTCATCCACATGTTTTATGGGAACAATCATCAGCGGGCCCGTGGGAGTCAAGACTTGAAACGGTCGCCGCAACTGGCCAAGGGAAAATCTGCATCAGCAAAGCCTCGGGGTGGAGAGCGCAACATACCCTTGCGGTGGCTTGATTCAGGATGGACCTGGCGTTGTCCGCATACCGCTGCTTTGTCTTCGAGTCCGTATCACCTGGTTCCAAGCCCACGACTTCGACACCTGGTACCAAAACATCGCCTTGAAGGCAATAGGTAGCGCTGATCAGCAGCAGCAACACCAAGGAAGCCGTTACCGCGAGGGAGGGTACGTCGTTGGGGCCCTGAATGAGCGCCCAAAGGCGACTGTAGACTGCAGGGCCCGACATGGATTGGTAGAAGGGATAGAGTGCAGGCGCAGAGGTAGGTATCTAGCAGCAGGCAGTGGGACCCATGTTAAATATCCCGCGAGATGAAAAACCCGGTCACATTGGCGTGGTGGTGGGGGCGGTTTGCTGACTTGCAGATATGCCGCCTCTGCCCTTCTCCTTACTGGCCAATCAGCCCCACACTACTGCAGGATCAACGACTGAGCGAGGCCGATCAGGCGCCACCACCGGAATTGGGCATTGCATTGTCAGTTCAGCCCTACCACTCGGGAACGCCCGGTTTTAGAGGCATGAGGCAGATTTCGATGCATTGAACTTGCTGCGAACCCAGTGGAAGTTATACAATGGCTTCCAAATCGGGCAAAATGGTGCAGTTTTAGCTGGTTGATTCCACCAATATGAATGGTCTCTGATGATGCAAGAGCTGACCATACATGACTCTGCACTCGTCGAGTGGGTCCCTCATTGATCTTCCCGAGGCAGTGTAGGCGCTTTTTTCCCCTCTTTGGTGAAGCTTCCGGGACCTTCTCGGCACCATGCTGACGATCTCATATGACGGTTAATTTCTGCCGACGACGACTTGCTCCATGTCCTCAAAAGGCAGGCGGATGGCTCGGTACGACGACAGATAAGGGTTGGTGCAGTTGAGACTGAGGATTGAGAGATGGTGCGGAGGCACATGAGCAACTCAAAGAAGCTGTGAAATCAGCGGCCCGATCTGCCAAGTTAGACGGAGCGAGACGGAGCTGGATGTGGGGAAGCATGTAGCGATGGAGCAAGAGCATCTTTGGCAGTGACGTACTGATCTCCGACCTCCTGTGAACATGCTCCACGATCCAGTCGCGCGCGCAGCTGGCGAACCATTCAATGCCCGCCCAGAGTCTATCTATGCGCTAGTACGACGGCCAGAAAGGTAGCTCATACCAGTTGGGAGGAGGGAGTTCATACTCGATCTCAATCGATGCTGCTCCTACCTTGTCCTCCGATTGCCGACCCTACAGCACCGTCAGCGAGCGATTTCGACAAAGTCTCCGATAAAGCTCACCTCAGCCCTTGCCCAGAGCACGACAATACAGCTGGCTTCCAACGCATCCATGAACCCCACCCCATTTCCAGCCCGGCCCCGATCATTCTCCGACGTATCCACACCCCATTTCCACTCTACCTTGCAGTCTTCAAACTCGCCCGCCGCCGCACCATTCCGCCACACCACCCACGCCACCCGCCCATCAGCGCTCTCCACAAAATCCCACCCCTCCTCCACCAACTCCTCCCTCGCCTCCTCCGGTGTCGCCCACGTCCCCACCAGCACATCTTGCAGTCTCTCGCCACCCGTCCAGCGTCTCGCACGCGTGTCATTCAACCGCGGTTTCCGCAAGATACTCGCCTCAAACCGACTCCCACCACCATCGCCGCCGCCTTCCGCCACCCGCATCCGAAAAACGACCCGCCACGGCACAGGCAGCCAAATCGCCGCGTCCTGGTCCGGCTCCGGGCCCTCCGAGGTGCTGAGATACAGGCCAGTCACACTGCCACCCCCGCCACCGCCACCACGCCCCTGCTCCTGCTTCCGCTCCGGCTGGCCATCACCGCACAGCGTCGACGCCCCGCTATCATATCCGTCCTCCTCCTCCTCCTCCTCCCCCCCCCCTCGCCCTCGGCCTCGCCCTCGGCCTCGGCTTCAGCTTCGGCTTCGGCTGCGGCTACAGCTGCACCACCCCTCCCCGCAACCTCCTCCCTCCCCCTGTACGCCCTCCTCACCGCCCGATGCGCCACGCCCCACGGGTGGCAAGCGAGCGCGGCTACGCGCAGCGGAAGAAGGCTCGACTGCGGCCATTTGCCGCCGAGGGTGCGGAAGCTGTGCAAGAGACTGCGGGCGATGCAGAAATTCGCGACGGAGGGGTCGTACGGGCCGAAGGAGGGGAGGTGGAAGGGG